CCATTTACCTTCAGGAAGGCAGATTTTCTGAGCAGCATGAAAGCAGATTTTTGACTTACCACTATTATTACAGCACATAGCACAACCTTGACCTTGTTGTGGCAACAGAAAGAGGCACTGTCACTTTATGTCTCCTTTCACCACACTCTTAAGGCTATTTCACCTCTCTACTGATATACTGCAGCAGTGGGACAGCACACACGGTGACATATGGCCGTGTCACACAGCCACTCACAGCACTCTCCTGGCACCTCCACCAGCACCTCAAGGGCAGAAATGGAAACACCCAGCGTGGCACAGAGCAAAGCCTCCCCTACAAGTACTGAGCACGGGGTGAAGCGGAGCTGCCAGGAGAGCTGCAGCATGCACTGACTGCAGGTATTTTTGTCCCATCAGCTCTGATGATGATACGGGAACCGGTGGTTAAATATAGCTCCTGCTCACACCCATGGCATGTACGCCTCTGAGCCTCCCCTGCACAGTGTGGCTTGGGCTCAAGGTGCTGGGAGAAACGTGGCCATGCCCCACTCACACAGCACTGCGCTGGGGTCCTGGTAGCACTGCCCACTGCATCCCCTCCTGAGGTCATCCTAACGTGGGATAGTGTTGGTCAGAGGGGACCTTAAAGGCCACCATCCAGCTCCAAGCCAAGGACAGTGCCCGTGGCACTCAGCACAGGGCTGCGCCCCGTCCTCAGGACCAGCAGCAGCGATGGGCTGGTACAGTCAGCTCCACAAACCCCTGTGCTCTGGGCGCAGATCCCGCGTGTTCCCAGAGCACCTGAAGGCAGCAGCTGCTTCCAAAGCACAGGGACTGCTGGAGCTCGGAGCTGGAGCTCGGCTCCTTGGCAGCCCACCCCGAGCTGCTCCCGCGCGGAGGGCAGCCGTGCATTTCCTGTCGGCTGATCCCAAAGCCGCGGCTGTTTCCTCCTGCTTCTTCCCAATCTGTTTATTTATGGAGTTATTTTATTTGCTAAATGTTATACCCTTGCCGAGGCAGCCCCAGCACGCAGTGTTTTCTTATTTATCCGTTAATTGTTACATCGCAATCCGACTTGTTATTTTCCCACGACCGAACGGGAACGGATCCCTGGCAGTACAAACTCTCGTGCTTAAGGAAACGCGAAGAGACGCGCTTTACAAGCTTCAACTGCACGCTGTGCTCCCTCCGCCAAGCCTGAGTGCCCGGCACGCAGGCAGCCCCGAGCAGAAGCCCCAGAACCCCCGGCTTCACCCCGCAGCCCCCGAGCAGAAGCCCCGCAGCCCCGGGTCGGGTCGGCACGCCGGTCGGCACTCACGGCTCCGGTAGAGCATGGCCCATGGGCGGCGCGGAACGGATCTCTCCTTGCGCCGAGGTCAGGGCGGCCTCGAAGCGAAAGGAAAAGCCGGGGGGGGGAGCTGCAGAGTCGAGTCGAGCCGAGCCGAGCCGAGCCGAGCCGAGCCGCCCCCCCCCCGCCGCCTGCGGGCTGGTTGGGTTGGGCGCTTTTTTTTTCTCTCTTCCTTTTTGGCTCCGCCGCAAGTCTCAGCTCTTTGCTCCCTGCCCAGCCCGGCTACTGGCTGCAGGAGGCTTGTTACACAGCCTACGAAGATGCTCCGTTGCTTGTACAGAGGATAACAGTCGGTCTCACAGTGGTCTTCAAAACCACACAGCTCAATATCTGATCCCTTTTAAAATAGAAATCAAATTATACATGAGAAAAATGCTCAGCCCATTATGTTCTCTTTTTTTTTTTTTTTTTTCTTAAAGCACTGAATTGAACAGGTTGCCCGGAGAGGTGGAGGTGCCTCATCCCTGCAGACAGCCAAGGTCAGGCTGCTTGAGCTCTGAGCACCTGATGGAGCTGCAGGTGTCCCTGTTCAGTGCAGGGGAGTGGGACGAGATGGCCTTCAAAGGTGCTTTCCAACTCAAATGATTCTGTGATGACTCTATGAATTCTCTGAAGGCAGGAAGCAAATAAGGCCATTTGGGTATCCTCCCCTTAAAACAGGTGAATAAATAAACTGAGGCTGAGAGAGCTGCTAAAGTGAGATGGAGCAGAGTGCTGAGCACAGAGCACAGCCCCTGCCTGAACTGTGCTCACACTGCAATTACCACCTTGCTGAGCTCCACCTGACTCGGGGCCAGGGAGGACAGAAGGGTGCTGTGCAGTCATGGGTTTGGGAGCGATGGGCGCAGCCTCCAGCTGCAGGCACCTCCTGTGAGGACACCAGCATGCACGGCCATGGGGCTGTGACCTTGAGCACACAGACAGCCTAAGCGCAGACGTGCTGAAGTGCCAGGGACCCAGGAACAAGCTGCTCAGCTCTGCCTTATGTCAGATGAACTTTCATTCCCTGCTTGCTGCTCTGCCAGAAGAGTTTCACGTTTCCCCCACTGCAGTGCATTCTAGCCCTAGCTAGCACAAGAGGAGACTGCTTCTGAAACATCCTGCCTTGGAGAGGGCTGGGAACTGCAGCATTCCCATCAGCTGATGCATTCTGGTTGTGGCCCTTAGCCATGGATAGTGGTGGGGTGACTGCATGAGAGCCTTTCAACATTGACTCTGTAAAGCAGCCTTCTTTGTAACAGTCCTTAAAATATAAGTAAGAAAGATCACCTCTCCCTGTTACTGAAGGAGGGAGTGGCTCAGGTTCCTTGTATCACACAGAGATGTGCAGAGGAATCTCAGAAGCTACTGGCTAGCATGCTGCTGAGCTTTATGCTTGGTCCTTTTAAGCAGAGGATTCAATTAAAGTTTAAAAGTTGTGCTGTGTGACATTGTAGATATAAAAAACAAAAAGTTGAGCAAACAATTTCTATCTGACACTAAGGTTTAGCAGATTCACTAGTTCCTGTGCTTCCAAAGCCACACTGATGACCAGGATGTTTGTGCCTCTTGCCTGCTCCACCCCAACCCCAAGCTGTCCCAGCCCCCAGGCTGACCCCCAACAGTGGGTACCCAGCTGGATGCTGGCATTTCCAGTACCCACGTGGAAAGCCCAACAAAAGCAACATTCACTCCGCGGCAGCACTATGGTGTCCATCCATGCTTCCTTGATCCACGGCTCCAAATGTATCCTTTGCCTTTTCCCAGCCACAGCAGACAGCTCAGGGCCATACGGGCAATGACAGGCAGTCTAGCAGCAGGAGCCAGGCTTCCTCCCAGCCAAATCAGCATCATCAAGGAAACCAAAGGGACTTGTGATTGTTTCTGTTGTTGGATACCTCCAGTCTGAAACTCCTCCCATCAAACACGAGAGTGGGACACCTACATATTTTCGTTTGGAAGCTCCGATTTTCACATCAAACTTACATTGCACGTTAAGAAAACAAGCAGTGAGAGCTGTGCCAGGGCTCACAAAACCCACAGTGCTGTGCTGTGCTGTGATGAGGGCTCCCCATCCCTGTGACCCCAGGAAGGGCTCTGCCAAGGGCGGGGTGCAGGGCTCCATCCAGCACTGCATAGACACTGAGCCTTCCCAGCATGGCAAACAGATTCTTTTTCATTTGTTCCAAAGAGTGGATTTTCATTTAAAAGGATGTCAGGATCAGAAGCTTTCCTACAGCAAACAGCGTGTCAGCTGGCTTAAAAACCAGTCCCTCATCAGTACTTAGCTTAAGATCTTAAAAACTATCTCTTAGTTTTCTGCAAGCAGCCAAAGCTGAGCAGAAGAGCAGTGCAGCAGTCCCAGCAGAGCTGTCTGCTCCAGGAGAGCAGCCCTAAAGCCCAGGGCAGGGAAAGAAAATGAGCAGTACTCTGACAAACACAGCTGGCAGGTTTTTCATCTGCAAGGAATTATCCTACCATCAAGGAATTATCCTATCATCCTGCAATGTGCAACGATTCATTTCTGAGCACCTCTGCAGGGAGGGGGCTGCACTGTGCTTGCGTGTGCAGTTCGGGGTGTTTCAGTTGTTCCATAAAATGTGCATGGAAATGCACTTCCTTTGGAGCAGAAATGGGAACCTGAACCTGAGATCACTGGCTGCCAAGCATGTAAGGGTTAAAAAGCATGTGTACTTAAGCCTCTATTATAGGTTCTCAGCTGCTTTCATCTCCCTGCACAGCGCTCCTTTTCCTCCTGACAATAAATAATGTTTATGTGAGCAATAAAACCAACTCCAGGGGGTGCAGCTGTCATAAACTGAGCACAGACCCAGAGGGAACGGAGCCACAAATCGCATGAAAGACAGCATGGGTGTTGTTTCCTTATCCTGTTGTAACTGTGCTGCCTCTTGGATTAGACACTTCAATAAATGCCAGTGACTGGTGCTCTGCGCGGAGGCACTGAATGCACCCACCTGCACTGCTGCTTCCTGTGGCCTTCTGTGCCAACTGATACTTCAAGCATGCATCCTGCGCTCTTTGTGGCTATCAGAAGCATCTTTTCCCTGGCACTTCTCGTGCTTCTCAGCTCTCCCCTTATTAAAGCCCTTCTGCACGTTCCCCAGCCTTCCTCGTCCTTCACAATTTCCTGAAGCTGCAGCAATGATGGTTCAAATTCTGCTTTGCTAACTCATTACTACTTTTACTTCCATCATGGAATCAGATTTACCTAAACACCTGCTGTCTTCTTGCTTTACTCTAGGCTGCAATGTCATTGCTGGGTGAAAACTCACTGGGTGCAGCAGCAGCAGCTCCTCAGGGCTCCTAGACCAGCTGGGGGTCTGCGGCTGTGCCCTGCTGCACCACTCCATCCATGGCCTCTAAACACAGAGCAGTGCAATTAAGCAGTAAGTCCTCCCTTCTGCAGAACAAGAGGGGCTTTTAATTAAAAAACATCTTACTGTCATTCTATCATACCACTGTGTAAAAATATGGGGGATTTTTCTTCCTGATATGTTTACAATAAACACGGGTTAAGGAAGGCATAATGAATGTGTTATTATGAGCAGTGAATTTCTATGAGGCAGAGACACAAACCAGCTCCCATTCCTCTCTGGAGGTACACAAAGCCATGGTGCTCTGCCACAGCCACAACACACAGCGCACTGCAGAGAATGGCTGCTGACGGCCAGCCTCAACATTCCTTATTTTATTTATATCAGACCTCAAAGTATTCCTGTTAAATAACCACTTTGTAATATATAAAACTTTCAGATTCAAATGAATAGTTAACTTCCTGCGTTATCTTTAAGGCACATTATTTTGATCCACTTCTTTTTGGTCCAGAGAAGCAAGTGCACTTCAGCCAGCAGCTAGCCAGGTATCTGACACCTGGGTTTATTGTATCTGTCTGTGTGTCCATAGACCTCAACCACATGGACCGAATTCACTGTGTGCAGAGCAGTGCTGTGTCCTGGCACTGTGGGTCTCTCAGGTGTGCTGCTGCTGCTGCTGAGCTTGGGCAGCCGCTCACTGGCTTTGCAGCGCCCCGAAGCTGCCGTGTCCCGAGTCCACTCCTCTTGGAATCTGTAGGCATGAAGGGAAAAGTTACTTCAGTTTTGCTTGCTCTAATGAGAATACAGAACCTTCCAATCTGTTTTATTTGCATATCGGGCACTTTGCAAACTGCTTGTGCTGTAACACAGGGACTCGCCTCTTCCAGCATTAAAAGCAGTAGGTGGCAATGGTGCAAATAATTGAGTTTGTAAAAGCTGGTGCAGTCCTTGGAAAGATCTGTAGAGTTGGAGCAGATGTCATCTTTTTATTTTCAATAAAATGAGCTTCCAGGTTCAGTTTAATGCAGTGCTAACTACAGAATACTACTAAGAGCACTTGAGTGCTGTGAGTGGTGCAGAAGGAACGCCCTCGCTTGGTTAGAGGGGAATGCAGCAGTCCGTCCACTTGCATTCTGGACAGCCTGGCCCTATCCTGTGCACATCCTATGCAGCCTCTGAGCGCTGCTTGCATTGGCTGCAGGAAACCAGCAGGAGCGCTCGCGGGAAGCATGCTTCTTACAGGAATGCACAGAATCACAGGGAAAGGGCAGAAGACAACAGCACTGTTACAAGTAACTGCTCTGGTACAGACACTGCAGATACATCTGTCTTGTAGAGGGCATTAAATCTCCTCCTTCACTGGAAAGCTGTTACGAAACTACTTGGGGCATGAACTACAGCCAGGTAGTGTAAAGCATCTGAAACCACCTCTGCTTTCAATCCGGGATGGCACTGATCAGCACAGAACAGAACCCAAGGAGGTGCCCAGGTTAGCAGGGAAAATATGACCCCTTTTGGCCCCCTAATGCTAGTTTCCAACTGGGCTACTCCAAACCATCCTAGTCAGAAGGTTAGAATCCCTGTGTTCCTAGCTGGAAACATGAGAGCATCCAGGAGTGTCACGTGCTGAATATCCCACCAAGATGCAAATACTTGACATTTGAGAAATAAGCGCAAATTGCTGACACAAAGGAGCAAGGCTTTGGTTGGTTGGTTCTGCTTTCTCTTCCACTGCATTTTTATTTCTCTTACATTAAGTAAACAGGAAACGTGCCCTGTAACTCCTGCCACTGACACAGGGCCCCAAGACTAAACCACAGCCCACTTCCCCCGCCTGGCAGTTCTGTGAAATAGGTGCATCAGAAGGTGCTGAGACTTCAGTGGCAGAGAGGTGGTGGAGCACAAAGCACCATGATAACTGATAAGGGGAAATGAATAGAGAATCTCATGTTGGGACAACACAGAGTGCAGCTGTCTATATAAAAAGCACATAAAGGCCCCTCGGCTGTGCCAGAGTCTGCTTCCCCCCTCCTAAGAGCTGCACAACCAGACAGCCCTCACACAGGGAATGGCATAGATTGTGCACTCTGTATGAGACACAGTCTGTGTTGTTTGCAGCTGCTTCACCAGATGCTTCTTGCAGTGGAGTCAGCCCTGCACTGCTTCCTGCAGCACTGCTGCTCTCCACACACAAGGATGTCATGCAGACTGCATCCCTGGGCAGTTGGATCCTCACACCAGCTGTGGGCTCAGACAGAAGAAATGGAAGCTCAGAGGGAGAAATGAGCTCAGCTCTGCCCCTTGTGCAGCCAGCCTGGTGCCAGGTCACGGCATGCAGAGCTCAGGCACAGCCAGAGATCCAGCTCGGCGTGTAGGACAGCAGCATCTTCAGCCAAGCTCAGGCAGTCTGACTTCTAACATGAAATCTAATGAAAATGCAGAATCAGTGTGAGCTCCCACAGCCCTTCATGGTGCACCAGGTGCAGAAGACACTTTGAGGACCCCGACTGTCTTGCAGGAAGTCACTACTGTAGAAGTTTTGGAGCCTTAATTATCCCTCTGATGCACCCCCTTGCTCTGCAGCTCCTGGTGGGGGGCTGTGACAGTCACTCAGGCTATTCTGGTGTCTTCTACTACTGTTTGTGTTTTCCATCCAGCCCTGCAGCACTTCGTCTCTCAGCATGAGCACTGCCCCTCATTGCAGTAAACTTGCACCACAGCATGCTGCCAGCAAAAGGCCATCAGATCCTTCAGCTTTGCAATCTCCTCTACTAACATGTTTAGAGGGGGAAAGCAGCTGGGAAACTGCCCCGATGGGACAGAGGGAAAGATGGGAACGTGGCCAAGGGTCTTTCCCCCTCTGGCCAACAGCCATGTCCTCCATGGGCCTGGGCACACGCTGACACTGTTCAGAGCAACACAAGGTTCTGATTTGCACCTCCGGTGGAACCCCTTATAAAAGGTAGTGGAAAACTTCAGCCTCACTACATCAAAGGGAAAAAGAAAATACACTGTTTCACTGTGGAGGCCAAAGCTATGAGCTAATTTTGCCAACTCTGCACACTGCTTCTTGAGTCGACTCAAAACGCCAAGCTGCCTCTCCTAAGAGCACGTTAGCTTTTTTGGGGGAAATCTTTTCACTTGGACATCTTTTGTGTTGGATTGCCCTTACTTACTCTATGCCAGGCATGCTGGTAATGCATCTTATAGTCAAAAAGGGCTCCAGCACAAAAATTCAGGTGCTAAAAATATCTTCTGTGGGAGATTACACTAGCCTCTTTCTCTGCAGAAGAGATTTTTTCTTGCTGATAATATGCTCCAGCTGCAGTGGATATGTGAAGGAGGACTTGAAGCCTACCGAGACGTGGGCTTTTCCATTTGACTCACTCCTGCAGTCAGATCGCTACTTCACAGAGAATGCTTTATAACCTGGCCTAGAGCTGTGTAAAATAATTCACCTCAAGAATAGTCCAAATGTTGCTTCTTCCAAAGGCTTTCACAGCGGGGGGAAAAATCACTAAGTTTTTTTGCTGATCTTTACATATATTTTTTGAGTGAGGCTGGTTTCTATCTGGTTGTCCTCTCAGCTGACAGAGCAGTAAAAGGAATCATAGAATGGAATCACAGAATGGCTTAGGTTGGAGGGGCACCTTGAAGCCATGGGCAGGGCTGTCACCACCAGCTCAGGGTGCCCAAGGCCCCATCCAGCCTGGCCCTGAGCACCTCTGGGGATGGGGCACCCCAGCTCAGGCAGCTGTGCCAGGTCCTCACCACCCTCTGAGTAAAAGATTTCTTTCTAACACCTAACTTAAATCTCTTCTCTTTTAGTTTAAAGCCATTCCCCTTATCCTATCACTATCAGACCATGTGAAAAGTCAGTCCCCTTCTGTTTGTAAGTTATCCTCAAGTACTGGATGGCTGCCATGTTGTCTCCCTAGAACCTTCTCTTCTCCAACCTTAACAAGTCCAACTCCCTCAGCCTTTCTTCAAAGGAGAGCGACTCCAGGTTCTTGATCATCTTAATGGCCCTGCTCTGGACCCACTCCTACAACTCCACATCCTTCTCATGCTGGAGGCACCAGGTCCAGACACTGTACTCATAAGAGCCAAGGAGAATTGGAAAATCACCTCCCTTTCCCTGCTGCCACCCCTCTGGTGACGTAGCCCAGGCTACTGCTGGCCTTCTGGGCTGCAAGAGTACAACTGCTGGCTCATTTGCAGCTTTTTGTCCAACAGGGCCTCCAAGTCCGTCTTTTCCAGTTTACTCTCTCCCACTCTGTAAGAATGTCTGCAATTGCCCCAACCCAAGTGCAACATTCTGCACCTGGCCTTGTTAAACCTCATTAAATTGCCATGTGCCCACTTTCTGAGTATGCTGAGGACCCCCAGAATGGTGTCCTTTTTTTCTGTTGTGTTAACTGCACCACAGCTTGGTGTCATCAGAAAACCAGCTGAGGGTACACTTAATCCCACTGCCAATGCCTTTGATAAAGATGTTGAAAAGGAGTCAATCTCCAGGTGAACTCAGCTCTCCCTCAGCGTGAAAACACTGGACTGTCCATTCTCCCTTGGACTCTCACTTCTACTTCCATGCCTTTCCTGCATGTCAGTGTGTAACTGTGCCATTGGCACAGCCACGTCTGCCTTTACTGCCCTCACGTGCCAAAAGCAGTTTGCTGCCTGCCACCACGCTGGCTTTGTGAGCTGGTGCACATGTTAGTGATTTGTCACAGAGGCACCACTGCCTCGTGGAGAAGAGGTGGCTGCTGGCTCAGGCTGCCTAGCTTTCCTGGCTCCAGGCAGGGATCCCAAGGCAACAGACTCAAATTTACTTCAATTTACTCAAATTTACTGCTCAGGAGCTTACCCATTTGAAAAACAAAAACAAAAACCTCTTAAACTTAGAATGGCACTTTAAGTACTGATGTCTGATGTCCTCATGAGACCCATGGTGACCATCTAATCCAAAGCAGCGTGATGCTGTCTGCCGTTCTGAGGACGGTCTTTCACCTTGGACGGACGAATTTAACATCCTTGGTTTCGTTCTGCCACAATTCTGCAGGCATTGCACCCTGGCTGCCAGGATGCCCATGGGCTGCTCTCATCTCCTGCAGCTGAGGATCAGCCTTCTGCTAATCTCCAGCCCTGTTTCATGCAGCAACTTGCTGCCTCTGCTCCAACCTTCTGGGGGAAGCATATCCCTCCCAGTACCCTGTGCCTTGTAACTTGCTGTTCCTACTCAGTATCAGTGAACTATTCCAATATTATAAAAGAGCAAATAGGCTTACAGCTCCTGCATGTATGAGCTGCTGCTAAAATTTGCTATTTTTAACCTCCTTATGGCTCCTTATACCCAAGTGAAGCAGCAGCATCAACAGAGACTACACAGCCATTAATGATCCCAGGTACTTGTAAACATGTTTCTCAGCATTTTAAAGCAATTTGTTCACACACCCAAGAAGCCAGAATGGGGCTCATTATAGTTACAGCAGCTGTCATTAAAATTCAGTGTTTTCCAGTGAAACTACATATTCATCACATTTGTTCCACACTTCAAACATGAAGGGATGAGGACCTCGTTTTAGGGCAGACAGGATCAGAACAACACATTGGAGCCTGAGTTGTCCAACAGCCAGGTCCTGCATTATTTATAACTTTCATGTCAGCATTTTGGATCTCTGTTATGGTACCTCATTACAGTCAAAATGATCTCATCAGCAAACTAAGACAGATGATAGCGTTGTGCTCCTGAGTTACTCTACAAAATATAAACTGTGTCTTGCCTTGCCTGAAAGAACTGGCTTTTCATTGTATTTGTTACTAAAGCACATTTGTTCCTTAAAGCAGCAAATCAAACCGTTTGGTAGACAATGTACATAGGCAAGATCTGGATCAGTCTGAAAGGCTGTTCTCATCTGAACAATGATCAGCCAAGACATCTCTGGAGCACAGCATGCTGAGACCTCACCTAGTTGCGACACACACCATTCTGTCCTGCAAGGGGTGCAGAGCTGACAGACCACTTGTTGTCTCTGAGACTTGGCTCGAGACACGTTAGCATCATTTCCACACCTCATCCTCTGCGTATATCCACTTAACAGAAATAAACAGGAAAAGGGAACAGCTTTTACTAACCCTGATTAAGTAGACCTTATTCGGGTGAGAAAAGAGAGTGTGGTAAGAACTGATAACAGACCACGCTTCTTCCTAGAGCAATACCAAAACCATTTTATTTGGCCTGTAACAGTTTGGATACTATGTCCGATTAGAAACAGCATCTGTTCTTTATGAGAGAAACAGCTAGACCCCTTCTCTGCTGTGCACAGCATGATACCCCTGTTCTTCCAGCTGATTTTTGCTCACCGGTCATTAGCCAAGATCACATCACCTCTGCATCCTGCAAAGCAAGCTGACGTGGCTGACAGTGGCCTCGTGCATCAGGAGGTGGGTATGTGCCCCAGTGCCCAACACAGCATCTCTACTGTTCAAGCAGTAAAAACAGAGCTTGCAGGCATTATCCTCCTGCCCTCTGCGTTTCCCCACTGGGGAACTGCACACCCTTCCAGTTTTCTAAAGAAATAATCAAACTGTTTAGTTCTGGCCCCAGAGAAGCTGCTTATCCAGAAGAATTGTGTATTCCCTGCTCGTTTCAGTTAAGAAAAGATGTACAGAATTTGGTAAACATAACACAGCAGCTTCTGCCCTGTGGAGTGGTGTAGATAAGCAGCAGAAGGAACTGAGACTCCAGCAGAGCTCTAAGCCCTGTAGATAGCCTTGTGTTTATTTATCCCTGTTATTTTAAAAGCAGATTACACTTTTTCAAAACATTTACACTGTGAAAGACCGAAGTTGTCCAAAGTTAAAAACTGCATCGTTATGACTTCTGAAAACTGTTAAGGTTATAAATTTCATTCAATTAGCTTTATACATCTTTCTGAAAACACCCAAAGCTAAGAATTGATTAAACAGCCATCAGACTTTCATGTAAGTGCTCCATTGGAACAAAATTTCCAGCTGCACTGTGACATGGAAGCAGGTTTGCAATCTGCATAAAGCTGTTTTCTGCAGGTAACCACTACAAATCACAGGTATTGCTGTTCAGAAAAGCTCTACAAAGGAGCAGTGAATTAAAAGCAAACAAGGATCGTGCTGTATATACCATACACAACGACAAAGGAGCACTTAGAGGTTATCAAAGACACAATGATATGTATTTGTACAGATGGCACAAATTTCTTTTGCTGGTGACAACACATCCGGACACATTCAGAGGTGTTTTTGAACCAATAAATACGCCTCTGCCCACCCCACATGCATTCACACCACAGGGCACACCTCGTTTCAGCATGGACATTTCTCTGGGCAGCCACAGGGTCGGATTTCCACCATGGTGGCATTTATGGGGCAGTGGCACACTGCAGCTCAGGATCCCACTGTGCTTCCTTGCACATACTGACTGCCATGTTTCTCTGGAGAGCCCTCCAGGCAATGAGGAATGGGAACACCCTGGGCTGACCCTGGTTAGCTCCTCTCCTAAGGCTCTTAGGCAAGCTTGCTACCACGCAACCACACAGTGTAGCCACTTACCTGCTGCTGTTTAGTATCCACTTAACAAAGCCAATTAAAAAACCTTTCTCTACTTAACCTGGCGCAACCTTCTCTGCATGTCAGGCTTCACCAAGCACTGCTGTGAATAACCATGTGCTCAGCTTTTCTGCTCTGCCACCTTTGGGCAACACAACTCCCACAGCACAAGCAAGCTCAAGGAAACCCATATGTTCTGCCCCAGCAGGTGAGCCTGCCTACTTCAGGTCAGTGCTGCTGCCATACCCTGACCTCCTCAGAGCAGTCTGCTAAGCACATCTTTTACAAATACTAAAATTTCTTCAACAACCTCATTCAAAACCACTATATTTTAACAACCTTACCTGTAGAAGCCTTGGTTGTCATATGCCATGTTAGTCACATCGTCAAATACAGAATTATTCCTGAGTTTTTTGTTGTTGTTGTTGTTATTCCTTCCCTTATAACCAAAGTAAGCAGCATGCATGTTCTCCAGTTCTTCAGTTCTGAGCTGATACCACAGCTGCATGTCCCTGTGAATAAAGCAAGGAGTAAAACAGCACTGTGATGAACAGCTGCATACCTGAGCTTTTATCTGACCACAGATCTACAGGAGTTTAAATCTAAATCCACGTCTATTATCTCACTAGCCGTGAGGGGGCTGTGGCATGTGTCATATGGGGAGCAGCTGAGGGAGCTGAGATTGTTCAGTCTGGAGAAGAGGAGGCTTGGGGTGACCTCATTGCTCTCTACAGCTGCCTGATGGGATGTTGTGGTGAGGCGGGGCTCAACCTCTTCTCCCAGATAACAGCAATAGGATGAGAGGGAATAGCTTCAAGTTTCAACAGAGGAGGTTCAGATTGGGTATTAAGAAACATTTCTTTTCCAAAAGAGTGCTCAGGCACTGGAACAGGCTGCCCAGGGAGGTGGCGGAGTCACCATCCCTGGAGGTGTTCAATAAACATTTAGATGTCGTACAAAGGGACCTGCTTTAGTGGGCACTATTGGTGGTAGGTGCACGGTTGGACTAGATGACCTCGGAGGTCTTTTCCAACCTTAATGATTATATGATTTTATTGACTTCTTTAAGAGAAGAACGTGTTTGGTTGCCTTCAGAATTTCCTCCTGGATGTGCCCAAGGCACTTGTCATACTGCTTTCTCCAGCTCTAGGGTTAAAAAAAAAAAAATCACAATTGCTTTTCCTGTTTTTAAAAGAGTTCCAACATTCACAGAGTCACTAACAATCACATTGGCTGCTGGGATGAGATTAGATTGTGAGGACTGGCAATGCTCATTTCCATGACTTCTCCATCCTCTCAGGATGCAATCCTGCTTCTACCAAAGAAAATGGGTGCTATGCTTGTGCCATGGGGTGAGATCTGTTAGTAGGCTATGCTATGGGAGGGTATTTGGATGCCTCTGTCTGACATCTCCCCAAATGCAGGGACAAAGCACAGCATGGCACGTCCTGTTGGATCATCAGAAACCTTACAAGCAGGCTTGTAGGCAAAGGTGACCTTTTTTAGCAGATCTACTATGAGAGCCAGAAAAAGCAGACAGGTAGATTTCAAAGCTGAAGGGGAGATGAGGACACATTCCCTGCTCTGCAGATACAGACTGCCTTTCCTTTCAGAGATGGCCTAAAAGACACTTATTTAACCAGCCTCCTCCTAAGTGTTCTCACTTTGTATTACCAAACCTGCATCTCCTCTTTGGATCAAGAAACACTTTGTGCATCCAGAAGTTGGTCCTCATTTTCCCACTACATCAAGTGATCTAACAGAAGAGGCTCCCTCTATGTGCACTTGCTCAAGCTCTCAGACACCCAGCTGCAGTAAGGCTACTGCCACAGGACAGAGGGCAGCAGTACACTGGGAAGCAAAGGGAACCATTTGGTGTCCCGGGGCAAAACTGGGTAAAAATGCCCAGATTAAAAGTCTGTTTCTCTGGTAGGAGAAAAATAACAAGACATCAAAGTCATGCGGATGGCTAATTTTGACAAAACTTCATTTTAAATAAATGAATAACAAGGACTTTGATATGAATAGTCTTATCAGAAAGAAAAGCAGCAATCCTGAAAATGCCAGTCATCCTTTTCATTTCAAAATTTATTTAACGCTGTGAGTGAAAACCTAATACTATGAATGACACCAAAAGCTTCTTTGCCATGCAAAATCCTTTCAAGGGAAATGAGGAAAAAAAATTCATATTTTGGCTTCAGTCAGATTTTGAAATTACAGAATTTTTCCCCAAAGAGAAGGTCTGGCTCCCACCCAGGTCTGGATAAAACACAGCTCAGAGCACAGAGACCTTCACTTGGGTCCTCTCCGTTACCTCACTTCAAATGCTTCTTTGAAGAAAGAGGTGGCTAAAAATCAACAAGAAGTGCAGCTCATTGGCTTCAGCTGGGAGCAGCCAGCCCACTGGGAGAAGAAGGGAAAAGTGAGAAGGAAATGAAGCACAGGTGCACATAGAACACTTTTTGCAGCAGGTAAATTTGAGTGGATGCTTTCATGAACAACAACTGCTTGAATTTAGCATTCAGACACATTTGGTCACTCAGTCATCCTTCACAATACGTTTTTATAATGGACTGGATGAATAAGTTTTACTTCTTTCCTTGTCTGTTTGTAATTCTGCCCACTGTCTCGTGCTTCAAGCCGCATGACAAAATCCTAAGTCTTTCCAGCTCTCGTTCGTGGCATCTGTGTGACAGCACTAAGCACACTTTGCAGATGGTGAAGGCTTTGATGGTTTTGACATGGTAGATTGGATTTCCCAGAGGAGTTAGATGAGAGTAAAGGAATAAAAAGGAAGAGAGAGAAGAGAAGTGAAAATACAGCCAAACTTAAGTAATTCAAGGAGAGAAAGACTGGGCCAGAGAGCAAAACTTGTATGTTCAGCTCCTGCATAATTCTGGGTAGATCTAGATCTGTCTAGGTCCACTTTAGTCATTCAATATTAAAAAAAATAGGCACCTAAATACTTTTGATTTTACATTTTCCTTTGCCTAAGTTCTCCTCTATAAATGAAGGATTAAGTAGTTTACATCATCATGGTGTTCTAAGCATCAAGTCCTGGAAAGGAGCTCTGTGCTATCACACCAATGGAGTGCACATGGCATACACCTTTTATGCCAGGTCTAAAAACCTTCTCTTGACATACCTTTCAGTCCTTCTCCTTTCACTTTTCTTCACACACTTGATGAGACAGCAGGTTAAAAAAGCCATGGACATCAGCAGAATGATGGCACAGCTCACGATGGAAGCAATCACTGCAACTTTAAATCCAAAAGTCTCATACTTCGATATGGCTGCAGCAAGGCAAACACAGGAGAACATTTCTGAGGTCAACACATTTACCTCTCATATTTTCATTAAACCATGCTGAAAACTACCTGCTTTACACTTATGCTAATAATAGCTCAGTGTTAAGCATGTGTTATAATATTGAAGTATCTTGGCTTCAAACTAAAGCTACACAGATCTTAAACTGGGCTAATTAAAAATTCCTGTTTATAAGTCATTGTTCACAAGTATTTTAGCATTGCAGTTAAACACAATGCCTTTAGCACTGCAACTAAAAAGCACAACTTGGTCGGTCTAACAAATGCAGATGAGCTACCAGACTGTTTTAATCAATGGTTGACAAGGAGTGGAAGTGCAAACACAAACACTGAAGGGTATGTGGGTTTAAAGAAGCCTTTTATACTGAGGATGGCTCTGTGTTTTGGTATGCCATATGCCAGGAAGTGACCAACTGGTCTTCCTCTGTTTGGGGATGGAAGGGTGGTATCTGTAAGGCTATGTATTCAAGTGATCTGACATCAGAAATGAGTTTATCCAGACAAAAGAGGAGTGAGAATGCGGTATGACAAAGCTTATGCAGACCTCTGCCACCTTGTTTTGAGCTCTAAACATATCTCACTTCAGAATTCATCTAGTTCTTCCAACACGAATACCAGCACAAGGAATGGTTCAGCTCTACACAAAGTGGAGGGTTTCTGTCATTTATTTTCTTTACTGGAGTCTCTTAAATCAGAGATATGAACACCTGAATTTCAGAAGGACTGATAAGAGTCTAAAGAGCTACCCAACTACCAATGATTTAAAATGATACAAATCTGACATACCAACTGAGCTCCCCAATTCAGATACTACAAAGCTCAGCTCAGAGTACCATGCAGTAGATTTTTGCTTGAGTCTACTTCCAGTCAAATTACTGTTTTATAATAAATAAGAAGAAACACAGCATGAAAGTTAATTAATGATGTGCCATTCAAATGCTATTTGTTAATATGGTAACTTTCCCATGCAGCTTCCCACAGGCAACAGCCTGATATTGTTGAAAAATATTGCTGTGTTTCTTTTACAGCAAGTTATCTTCAGAAATGAAAGCCAGCAGATTAGAGGTCTGCAAATACATTTGCAGATTAGTTGGTCATATCTCTACAAGAGATGTTCGTAAAGAACAGAACACCCTGTAGTTACAGAGCCACGTTTGTTCCGGGTGCAACTCTACCAGAGCCGGTGATGTAAGATCAGGCAGAAATCCGATGGAGTCTTTTCTATGTCACAATAATTAACGATGTCAGAACACATATGGAGCGCAATTACAGTCAGCGGGGGCAACTTTGAAGGAAATTGAATTTGTCTTTTTTCTTGCACAGATGTCTAGAATTAATCCTCAGGTGGTAGGAGGTACACAAAGCTAAATAACTACACTGCAGCCCAGAGGGAGTGGGAATGGTTTCTGGAAGAGCCTTACGCTTGCAGGAGGGCACTTCTGCTGTCCACTGGGTATCGTTCCCCTTCCATATGCAGGTGATGACGCCGGGCCCCTCCAGCTGGTGCTCAGCCGCACACTGGAAGGCGATGACCGTCCCGACGGCTGTGCCATTGCCATGAATGATCTGCAGGGTGCCCAGCTGGGGAGGGGGTACATGGCTGCACTGCCCTGCAGAACAAATACACGAGGCAACGCAAAATGAGAGCAGAAAGTGGAGGTTCACTTCGGTTGGTTGATCATAATCATATTTTAAATCAGCCCAAGTTAATGGGCAAAGCAAGGAACAAAGCTCTGCACAGGCAACGTTGCTTGCACTGCCAGGTGCCAGTCCATAGCCAGACCCTGTAATGCCAGCCAGAAGCTCCTCTGCTCTCCATCCCATGCAATGTGGTTCACTTATGATGCTACACAGCTTCTTTTACACAATAAACATTAAAACCAAACAAATAAAACCAGGCAAACTCAAACAAAACAGAATTTGATCTATGAGTGGCATGGTCTCATTGGACACGTTCTCATATTGCTGGGCTCTGTGTTTAATTAAGTGCTCAGGATGGCATTTTCCATTCAGGAAACATTCATCACACATCTCTCACACAAACTTTCCAAGACCTAATGGACTGACCACATCCTCCAGCACCCCAGTCTATATGGTAGCCTCTTATCACAACCTTAAAGAATCTTCTCATGTTCAGAGACTACTGTACCTCTGCTAGCCCTGGCTAAGATGAGCTGACAACTCTTACAGCCTTTGCACATGGAGGGGAAAAGGAGAAAAGTGGCCAAAGAGAGACATCACATCTTCATCTCCATTCACAAACACTTCTGTATCACTCATGCGTTACACTTTTTTTCCTTTTGGCTTTTCTCTTTCTATTTTTTGCAGTACATACAGCTGTTCTTTGAGTTATTCTCCTCTCAGCAACATATTGTTACCCGCTAGCTTTATACATCAAGTTTTGTTGCCACAATATTCCTTGTTTCATTCATTTTTAACATAAATGTTAATGGTCAGTCATGAAGGCAACACATAATATCCAACTATACTTCAATAACAACAACTGCATTTTTCCATTCCTGTACCTGTGCACTGACAGAACCTGAGAATTGCTTTATTTATTTACTTATTTATTATGTCTAACACTCACTTACTTAATAGCACCATTGCTTCTGCATCAGAAACCAAATTTCCCGTCTCTCAGCTGATTTCCAGATGACTTCAGCAGGGCCACGGGCAGCTCAGAGGCAATGGGATTGCTCTTGCAAGGCCAGAGTGGCAAACACCAAGATGGCATAGAAAAATAATAAAGGAGAGAAAAATATGCTTTCCACATGTAGAAATAGAAAGAAATTGAGAGTTTTAATAGCCTCCTCAAGAACACTTGGGCAGAGCTGCAATGTTGATATCAAATCTATTTCATTTTTTCATACCAAAAAACCCTCCAGTCATTAATTAACTCTAAGCTGCTCTGATCAAACTGCAGGAGATGGGCTTACTATTGACTCATCTTCAGTCTACACTCTTAAAAAACCCAATCCCTGGAAAACCAAAACCAGAGGAATCTCAGCAAAACACCAATAAAACCACAGAGTCAATTACTGGTCTAATCTAAGTAAATACGCACTGAGGACTGCATTTTAAAAACATGCCTTTCTTAATTCCGTATAGGTTATTACTGCTCGTTTTGCCTTCTCTTTCAGCCCCTCACAATGGCAGCAACTTGCCTTTACAAGAGCAAACCTTTTCTAGAGTGTCATTTCCCTTATCTCCTGTCCTTCCTTCCAACATCTGACGCCGGAACACACTGATGTGTGAGCTGGACCATCTTCTACCTCACTTTGGAGTGGGACCAGCTTCTCTCTTCACCTTAAACACCCAAGACGCCTTGAAAAGCCATAATCATAAGCTGCAAAAGACCCACATCATTGCATTTTACAGTTTCAAGGCATATTTAGGTACCAGATCACATACTTAGAGCTCATACAGTGACACTTCTAGCTGCAAGAGATGCAGAAAGTATCTCAGAGCCAAGTCGGATTTCCTCAGCCTCCTAAGCAGTCCTCATTAGACTCTTTCAGCAGACGTGCCATTTTACCTGGAATCATGACAGACCAAAGAACAGATAATTTATCTCTTGATGTTTTCTTCCAAGTTCTTTTTTTTTTAATCTTTAATCCACCATTGGTCATTCTGACTAACACATGGCTGTTGCCAGCACTTTTACACTTGCCTGCATTGTCCTTGCCCATAATTGCATATGTTGAATGATTAAAACCTCAGAATGTCAGTGACCTTTTGTCATTATTATTTAAAAATACTTCCTTCACTTGATCACTGCAGAGATCTGCAACAGCCACTCGTTTGCCAGAGTGCCATTAAGCTGTGGTTATTTCCTTGCTTTGGCCAGGGCTGTAATAGCATTATGTCATCCCCAGATGACATTCCTGCACAGATGTAACTGAGGCTGTAATTCTGAGTCTCCTCTTGACAACATCCAATAAGGGATAAAATTTTGAAAGCTCCTATGCTTGTGTTTACACAGAACCTTAGCTAAACGTTCATCACCTGTACTCCACATACCTGCATCTGGCCATACAAGAAATGCTGTTTCTTCTTCTTCTTAGAGCTTTTCAATACCATTTCTTCTTTGGCCAGCACCAAAACATTAAAGGCTTTTTTTTTTTTTTTTTCCTTTAAATAAGAGCTTTTATTGAAAGACACAGATGGGATTTTTGCCAGTACGAGCTTCTGAATTTTATCCAAGTTCAGATTTAAAACCACTGGATCAGATTTGCCCTAATTTTCTTTGGCAATAGTCTTCTAATAATTCATTTGTGAATCTCTCTTGTGAGCTCCAGCATCCCTTTCTATTAATGATCCATGAAGTCCTTGCAGTTACTCATTGCACCCACTCTTCTGCCAGCTTACTTTTATCCTTCCACTTCTTGAAAATTACTGTTTTAGTGTGCTTCCACCCTCGTATCTGTACAAGGAGATGTTCTGCATGGATCTAGCCTTTGAATGCTCTCCAGGCATGCTTGTTTGACAACACCTGCTACAAGGAGGAATTTTTGTTTTCAGCTGAGGTCTGTGATGGAGGCTGCATTTTCTGCTGAAGTAAAACACCAACACTGCACAGACACTCGCACTGGCCAGGTTTACATCTCGATTTGTATTTATTTTCTAAATATCTAGAAAATATCAAGCCTTGGATTGCAGTAACTGTCACTAGTCAGAAATGTAATGTCGAATAAGAGCCATAAATATTGCTTATTTCACTTTTGCAACAGCTGAATCTCAAGCCCCTCAGAGTGATGCTTGGCAGGCAGCACTTACAGCTGGGAGGACTGTGCAAGGCATTACCGTGAGCCTATCAGCCATGTGTGAGCAGTTCACAATAAACATCCCCAGCCATGATGTGCTGTTCAGTTTTGATTAGCTTCATGGCTTCCCTCCTAGATTTGATGTGTCTCCCAAACCTAGTTCCCATGACTCATAAGTTGTTCGCCAGTCCCAGGTTGTGCTCTGCTTACATTTTCAGAAACAGGCTGCTACTTCTAAGCACAAGAAGAAAACTCACTCACCCCTACTAAGCAAAGGGTGAAAATCACTTCTTGATTTTGAGCTCTAAGAGAAGCTGTGAAGAGAACTGCTGGTTCATTCACTCACTGCACAGGACTCACAAAGCACCTCATCCATGCTGCCCACCACCCAAAGCATTGCTTCAGCTGCAGTCATCGCAGACCAGAGGCCATCAATGGGTCAGTTTGGGCATAAGGAGCTTTAACTACCTTAAGTATCCTATGGGCACACATGCACGCCCTCGTAAAGAAAGAGATCCTTCATACCATGCATTTCTTCAGTTCACACTAAGAGGATATTTGACACTCAGAAAGTGTCGGAATCTGAAGCTGCTGTCTGACAAGACAGGAGGGCACTGGCTGTAGCAAATAAACACATTATTTCACATGACAAATAACTGCCCCCAAAGTAAAAACACTAAAGTTGAGCATGCTCTGTTAATTCTTAATTCACACAAACCACTGAGTTCAGAAACATCCAAACATATAATTTCCAGGTGCTGAAACTTAAAGAGTAATGTGAGAATTAAGACAAAATAATCCAAAAAGCCTCTTTCCATGCAGACACAGGGTCGTCTGTATTGCAAAATCAATTCGTCAGGAAGAGTTACCATATGGTTTCATTGTCAGCATGCTGCAGATTTATGTTTTGCTGATAAGGAAACAGAATGAGAGAGTAACTGAAGAACGCTTGCCCATTACACATTGCCTGTGCTCCTTCTCCCTCCACGCAGCAAAACACAGCAAATGGAAATCAAATACATTGCATACATATATGCCAAAATGATCTAAAATACAGCAGCAGCTATCTGAAAGCATTTTGTTAAGATAGCCACTTGCTGTCTGTGCAGAAATAGAGCCATCCGTGACTTCGCCTCATTATTTCCATACGCGCATAATTCAAGCTTTTGCTTTGCTTATTGTTGACTACTTAATGCAACTAAAACATGCTGTAATAGCCAGATGCCAGAAATAGACAGAACATTAGGTTCTATAAAACCCGAAGAAACTCAGCAGGCTGATGATATTATTTCTGCAAGTCTATTTTCTTAGAAAAGCACGCATTAGAAATTACTGTTCCTAAAGTCACAGGCGTAATGTCGAACATCCGCAGCAAGCTCGCAGAGGAGCCCGTGGAAAAGCTTGCCATGGGAGAACGAAGGAAGAGAGGGAAGAGAGGGAACACACCCATAGCCCACACACCTCCAAAACAGATGAGGACCAGGCAGCATTCCCTGTTACTGTGTACCAGCAGCTAAAGATCTGGTTAGCAAACTGTAATTAGAGATTAAGTTGACCATTTTGCAGCCAACAGACTCTAATTGGATTGCATACGTAAGAAGAGCCCATTTGCCATCACATGCAAGCCCAAAACTCAGGCTTGCTCCTCTCGATGGCTTTCCCTCATTCTTTCCTGCTGAAAATTGACTTTTCAACGCACTGCTTGCAACAGCAATGATGGCAGAGCATGGTGGCACAAAGGGAGCTTCCCTTTTGGTGGCCCATTCAGGGCTATGGAGAGCTGAGATCCATTCAGACCACAGGACCTGAAGGGTCGGAGCAGGGACAGGAGAAGGGACTGATGGGCAGATTCCCTTCTGTCCTCCCAGTATTTTTCATCTAGCTTTTTTGCCTTGGTGCATCAAACAAGCTGCAGTGAGATTTAGGAGTCAGCACCAAGCACTTCCCAGCTCTGAAATGCTCCCTGTCTGCAGGGCTGTGAGCAGCTTTAATCCATGCCAAAGCCAAGTCACACATCACCGAGATGCTAGGTTAGGGTGTGCTGACAGCACGCACAATCCACTCCCATTTCAAACATAAATAACATTTGGAATTGGTGTAAAATGATTCTTATTTGCGTCTTTCATGTTACTCTTAAGCGAGGATTTGTTCCAGTCACTGTACTGCCATCTCTGTGATTGATTTTTTTTTTGCCAATTTACATCAAAGTCAGGTTATTCTCATCTGTAGATTTTACTCTGGGATCTAGCAACAAGGACAATACTGAGTATGTTTCTTATGGGAAAGATTAATTGAGAAAAAAGAAGTCGATGGAAAATGAGGTATTTGATGAAGGCCCCAGTAAAGCAAGAAACAAGAACAGATGGGTTTTCTGCACATTATTACCCTGTTTTCCAACAGAACTGAGAAAGTGGGTTATGGCACTTCTGAAGAGTTAACAGTTTAACTGAACAGGAAGGGTCCACAAGGCAAATGTGAAGCATTCATCTCTCCCTCTTTTTTCCATATTAAAAAGAATGAAAGTGGAAAAAATAATAATCAACCAAGCATCCACTATGGAGCACACCAGAACTGTGCCTTGACGTGAACTGTTCGCAAACAAAAAAGACCCAACAGCTGCTTTTTGACTGCTCAGTGAATGGAGCTAATGATGGGCTCCTCAATTTGTCACCCCAAAGCAGGTGATAAATAAACAATGCAACTTGCAGAACACACAGTTTGTGCCCTACTTTCTAAAATAAAACTCAAAAGGGGATAAAATTATAAGGAATAATTTGAATTGAGCTTTTCACCTGCACTTGCTCAGACCCCGATTGTATAAGATGTGCTGAGGTAGATGGAGCTAAATAAACAGAATAAACTATAGAGAATACTCTACAGAATGCTGGGAAATCCACATACCAAGAGCCCAGCTTAGTAGTTAGCACCTCACTAACATGGATCAGGTATTGGTGGGAAAGCAGGCAAGCTTTAGGAGCCTCCAATCTTCAGCAAACCATTCACTATGCTCTCCTTATCTCAACGCCCTCCCTTCTTCCAGAGATAACCAAGAGCCCATGAACGCTAGCAGCCCTGCCAGTATTTACAA